AGGTGCTTAGACATTCCCAGAGCTGATTCTGCTTCCGTTCGGGGATTGCCTCTAAGAGTAGAGTCCTCCCCTCATCACAGAAGAATCCCCACATGGTGGACAGAGAGGAAATTTCACTGCAGCGTGATTGTCTTTGTGATACAAAGGGAACTGGAAACGGTTTCAATGCCAGTTCAGAGGGAGGCGAACAGCGACGTATCATACTAAGGAATATGACACGGCAAATGAGCAAAGCGAGGGGAGTGCTGACGTCAGAACTTGGAGAGCCACTCAAGACCTACTGTCTGGTGGGGACAAGGACAGGCTGCAGACCAGTATATACAATGTGCCACAAGTTATTCGAATGAACACATAGAAACCACACTATCTTTCATAGGAGTGCATTTTAGGACGTTTGAGATGGGCTGGAATAATAATTGTATTTAGGTCCAGGTGAGAGAGAGCTGGGGAACTGAGCCGATGGCCAGGATTGGCAGAGAGGAGTCTTTCTTTTTTAATTTTTTTAAAAAATTTTTTTGAGAGAGAGAGGGTGCAAGTGAGCGAGGGGCAGAGAGACAGGGAGAGAGAGAATCCCATGAGGGCAGAGAGGGAGAGAGAGGGAGAGGAGCGGGAATCGCCCAAAGTGGGGCTCGAGCTCATGAACCATGAGATCATGACCTGAGCCGAAGTCTGTTGCCTAACTGACTGAACCACCTGGGTGCCCCTGGAGGAGAGGAGTCTTAAGGGGACACTAGCCTTAGGGACCATTTTTCGTTTCATTTCATTTTTTTTTAAGTAAGGAAAATGTATTCATGAGTTCTTGTGGGATCAAAAATTAATAATAGTGGTTTTTAAAATTAGCCTTAGACTCTATTGAGCCCTTCCTCTGGGCTGGCAGGACTGATTCATGACTGACTAACTTTGTATGAGTCATGGCGCCTACTAGGGAGGGATGGGTCCACTTCCCATCTCCATGCTGTCTGGTCCGTCTGGTCTTGGGGGCTCCCTCGGCCTTTGGAGGCTGAGTGTGAGCTCGGCATGGCCGGGGTCCTCCCAGTGTGGCAGGGTCTTCTTGTAGCTGACCTGGTGGGTGACTCAACATGAGAGAAGGGTCTGCATAGCATAGTTGATGCAGAACTATAACAACTGTGAGCCTGGACACTCCAGTCCGAATCTCAGTCTTGCTTCCACCTCCTGGGGTCCTGGGGCAAGTGCTCCCAGCCCAGCTCCACTCCTACCACCTTCTCCTTGTTCATTCTATTCTGGCCCCACCGGCTTCCTTTCTGGTCACTCTGCCTCCCTTGCTTGCCTCGGGTGTTTGGGGTTGCTGTTCCTTTTAACTAGAACGCTGTTCCCTCTGACTGCCACATGACTAGCTACTTCTCAGGGGTCAGATCTCATCTCTAGCGAACGCCAGTCCCTCTCCCTTAACACAAGCTATGTTACTTCCCCCGGGAGCATGGAACATCACCAGAATTCTGTTGTAGAGCTGGGTCGTGCCCTTTTGCAGACCGGGTAGCCCTCTGGAAGGCAGGTGCATTAGGGACAAGCACCTGTCCGGTCCTTCTCTGTAGTTCGAGTACCAAGAATGGTGTCTGGCATATCGTAAGTGCTCAGTAAAGAGTACGTGAATGAATGCATGAGCTTCGCAAGCCCAGCGAGAATGGTGCCCTGGGAGAAGAAGGATGCCAAGCTTCCTTCCAGTCCCTTCCAGGCAAGAGTCAAATCCTTGAGTGAGGCAGGAGTGGATGGAGGAACAAGCCCCATGGCTCCCCTGCCTAAGTCGGCTGCTATGAGGCTGAAAGTGTGGGGCCCTTATTTAATGCCCAGAGGCTTCGGTTTGCTCATCTAGAAGACAAAGAGGTTGGACTGGATGCTCCTTTTCTGCTCCAAGCTTTTACTATGCTATAAAATATAAATGGTTTGGGTCCACATGCTCAAATCAAGATATATGCTTGAATACCCTTTCTTTAATATGCCCTTAATATCGGTTTGTGTGTCCCCTCCATCCCCCCCCCCCGCCCCCCCGCCACCATTTTCCTCTTTCTCATAAAAAATGGAATGCAGAACGTGCGGCAGCGTGGTCTCTGGTGAACTGTGATCCGGAGCCCTTGATGCAAAATTCATTATTGAATCAAAGACTACATTTTTCTCTCCTCATTTGTTTCTTTGCTCTCCAAACAATTTTGAGCTTTGATGTCTTTATTGGTGTCCTTTGGCCTTTGAGCAGAATGAAAATGTGGTGTATCTAGTCATTGGGCTGTATTCTGAATAGGACTAAGCTGGCACGCAGAAGAGTAGGGAATATTGGTTTCAGAACCCCTCTGTTCAGGCATATGGAGCGGGGAGTGGGGAGGGTCAGCTCCCGACTTTCCACACAGCAGAAAGGAGCTGGGTCAGCCTGGTCTCTGGGGCCAGGTTCTGATTTTGGTACTCAGGCTCTACTGCTGTTTGGACAGGGAACTGAGCAGGTGCCCTTGATTTGGAGGCTGGAGACCAAAAGCATGAAAAAGCCCCCTTTAACTGACAGCTTGCTGTGGGCCAGATGCTGCGCTAAGGGCTTGGCATGTTACCATCTTACTTAACTTTGATTCTTCCCAGTGCCCCATGAGATAGGAAGTGTTATTCCCTTTATTATTTCAAATGGAGAAACTGAGGCTTATGGAGAGTAAATCAAATGTCCAAGCTCGTGTAGGGGAGCTAAGATTTGCACCCAGGCTGTCTGACGCTAGCCTTTCCTACTTCCAAGACAGTACACGCATAGTGAAGGATGCTATGCAAATCCTGGAGTGCAAGTATGGCTTTGCCAGGACAAGGTGCAGCTAGTGATAGGAATCCCTAACATTCAAGTTTCTCATCCAGATTGAAAAAGTAGGAGTGACCATCAGAGTGCTAAAGAAAGATTGTTATAAGCATGTCAGGTATCATTCATTCCTTCAGTAAACCCACAAGCACTCCTCTGTGCAAGGAGGATGTATATACTTTGCTGTCCCAAAGAGAGACCCCCTATAGAGACATCCCTGTCCTCTTACAGGGGCTAACAGTCACTTGACATCTGAGGGGGTGAAAGCTGAGAGATTTTGTGTAACTGGTTCATTCCATCCAGCTTGTCCATGACTTGTCCATTCTGTCCAGCTTGTCCAGAGTTGGAAGGCAGGCCCACCACTGAATGCCTCAGGCACCAAGACAGCAAGACCTCTAAGGTCCAATATGAAAGGCTGTCCTCCATCTTTTTCTTTCCCCTGATCTGTGGCAATATTCAAATAATCATTCAATAGATTGCCGAAGATATGGATCAGGGTGCGTGGATTGAATAGGGCCGGGTTTCTTGACCCTGGTGCCACTGACATTTTGGGCGGGATCATTCTTGGTTGCGGGGCCTGTCCTGTGCACTGTAGGATGTCTAGCGGCGTCTCTGACCTTGGCCCACCAGAATGCAGTAGCCAGCTGTGACAACCAGAAAGGTCCCTGGTTATCGTCAAATGTTCCCAGGAGGCAAAATTGCCCCTGGTTGAGAACCACTGGAACTGAGTGACAACAAAACAAAATAAAACACTCACAAAAATTCTTTCTCTGCTGTAAGTCAATGGTGGTGTTGCATATGTGGGACTCACACATATCAGAGGATCAGACCCCCAAATCTCGTAATAGTGAAAATAGTCCTTGGAATGACTTGGAAGCCTGGAGCTATTATAGGATCATAGTTTCTACAGGTTAGGTTCAGGTTAACTGACAGGCTTTAAGGGCCGTATATAAACAAAATGTGTCTTTAAACACCAGAGTTACTCTCAGTGGGGAGATGTTCAGCGTGAAAGATAAGGAACCAAGGGGTTTGCAGCTCCATTTCCCCCATCTCAAGCTAACTGGAGGCCTCCGTCCAGGGAAAGCATTGGCCTTGGGTGACATGGGCTGTGGCCTTACTACTTAAAGTGTGGTCCATAGACCAGCAGCCACTGGTCACTTGGGAGCTTGCCAGGACATGCAAAAACTTGGGCCCTCCCTCAGCCCTACAGTATCAGAATCTACATTTTAGTAAGATTCCCAAAGGGCTCATTTGCATTTTAAGGTTTGGGAAAGTAGCAGTGTATGGTATTAAAACACTTTAAGAGTTGAGAAGAGCTCACCTATGTGTTTAAAACGTTTTGTCTCACTTTTGCTGACTGTGCTTGTAAGTGTGTGGGTGACGTTTGTCTGCTTGTTTGCTTCAGCGCTATAGGAATGTGGTTCTGTGTAGGTTGGAAGCATCTAGACTTTATCATTAGGCAGAATTGTTGAAGACGGATGTGAGGTTGGTGCTGTGGGTGTGTGTGTGTGTGTGTGTGTGTGTGTGTGTGTGTGTGTGTGTTTCTGGTTTATATTCTTTTATACGTTTTAAGTGATGAAGCTCCTGTTTGTGTATTCTCTGTCACACACGCCCGCACCCCCATATGTGAGAAAACTCATCTCTGCTTATTTCTAAGACTATTAGAAATAAGACCTCAGAGAAGTCAGCTGACATGTTCCTCACACAAAGGCCTTGCTGCTTCGTGGTGCAAGGATGTAAGGAGTCGCTGACTTCGGACGAGCTTTACAAACAGGGACCTGTTGTACAATCACAGGGTGGTGGTGGCGATCGCTGCACCTGCAAAGAATAAAAAAAGGTCACCGCGGCGGATTTTCTCTGTAGCTCAGATGCTGTGTCTGTACTGCCCCCTGCTGGTTAAGGCCCTTCGGGACACAACGCGCTTGGCCATGACTTTTCTCCTCCTCGTCCTCTTCTCCCTGTGCCTTCTTCCGCTTATTTACGGCTCCCGAACGGGGGTGGGGGGTGGGGGGTGGGGTGGGGGGGGGTGTTGAAACTCCTATTTGTCACTAGTTCCAGGCCTGCTGCTTGCACAGGCCTCTTTTGGCCCAGATGCAAGTCTCCCCAGGAAGGACATCTGACCTGGGCTCGTTGGGCGGAAGGATTCCTCCTTCCCTTGCCCTTTGCTGAGTCCGATGATTGCAAATCCTGAGTGTCCCTGGAAGATAGCTGGACTGAGGAGACATTCCTTTCCCTGGGAGCGGTGGGGAGTGTCCGTCCTGGGCTCGTGTCCTGACACACCATCCTATCCCAGCTTGTTCACTAGGGAACCTGATTTTCAAGCCTGAGCTTATTGGTGTTAGCACGTTCGCGGAAGCACACTGAATTGAAGGTCCCGGGGTTTGAGTTCTAATGCGGGCTTTGCCACGGGATTGCCTAAAAGGGTTGAAGAAATGATTTAGTCGTTATGGGCCTCAGTTTCTTTCTCTTTAAAGTGGGTTGGAGGAGAACAAGCAGGAATGGACTCCTGCGCTGCCAGCCTCCCAGGGTGGGGCTCCCGTCGCCCGCCCCTTGACCCCAGGCTGGCTGTGGGAGCCAAGAAATAGGAAACTGACACGTTGAAAGAGCATCAGCTGTCCCGGGTGAGGTCACAGCCGGCCACTGGTGACCTCTGCTGGGTCAGCAGGTCAGCAGCCCCGCCCCTCCCGAGCTGCGGCCGCCAGGTCCTCCCCTGACCCTTGGCAAGGGCACCATGCTCATCCGTGCAGAGGGAAGCCGGGAGAACACCTCGCCCGCCCGTGGCTTGGTAATCTGCTACCATGTGACAAGGGCTCTCCAGCCACAGATGCTGCTTCGCCTGTCCTGCCGGAGTGACGGGCACTAAGCGGAGTGGTAAGGACGGAGCCCCGGAGTCCCACTGCCCTGGCTGGAGCCCCGGCTTTGCTGTGCCCTGTCATCTGAGTGAGCTGGGGCACGTCATTCAGACTCTTGTTTCCTGGTCTTTAAACGGGGGTAATGTTAATATAGCTTTGGTGGAGTGCTAAGAGGACTCAGGGAAATTTTTTTTCTTTTCTCCCCTCCCTTTTGTTTTTTACTTTGTTGACAGGAAATTTATTCCAGGGATCCATATAATATAAAAAGAGTTCTCGTCATGAAAGTATAAAATTTGAAATAAAGCATTAGTTATAAAAACCAAAGAGCCGGGCATCTTGATGTAGAGGGTGGTGTAGGAAGTAGGTAAAAGGTGAGTGCTCTTGGACTAGGGCTGTAGGTGAGTCTCCAGGAGGGGGCACATTGCCAGGTGGGTCTTTGTGAAAGCAGGACAAACTTTACTCTGAAAGTTCCCTAGGAGCTTGGATCTGGGTCTAGTTCATTCGTTGCTCTATCCCTACTGCCTTGGAGAATGTCTAGCACAAAGTAGGTGACATATATATATATATATATATATATATATATATATATGTATATTTGTAAAAATTTCACTCTTCTTGTATTTTTCTTTCGTTCATCACTTTTGTTTCCAGCTTTATTGAGATGTAACTGACATATAACATTGTATTAGTTTTAGGTGCACAACATAATGATTTGTTACACGTGTATATTGCAAAATGATGACCATAATACATTTCATTGACGTCCATCACCTCATGTAGTTACAAATATTTTTTCCATGATGAGAAGTTTTAAGATCTTTCTTAGCAATTTTCGAATATACAATACAGTATTGTTAATTATATCACTATGCTATATGTCGCATGGCTAGGACTTATTTATCCTGTAACTGGAGGTTTGTACCTTTTGACCACTTTCCCCCATTTTGCTTACACCTCACCTTCTACCCCTGGCCACCACCAATCTGTTCTCTTTTCTATGAATTTGGGGGATTTTTTTGGGTGCCACATATAGGTGACATCATTTGTCTTTCTCTAAGTGACTAATTTCGCTTAGCAGAATTATCCCACAAGGTCCATTCCTGTTGTTGCAAATGGCAGAATTTCCTCCTTTTTTAATGGCTGACTGTTATTCCATTAGAAATGTATATTTGAGGAGTGCCTGGGCAGCTCAGTCAGTTAAGTATCTGACTCTTGCTTTTGGCTCAGGTCATGATGTTATGAGTCGTGGGTTCGAGCCTCACATCGGGCTCTGTGCTGACAGTGCGGAGCCTCCTTGAGATTCTCTTGTGCTCCCTCTCTCTCTCTGCCCCTCCCCTGCTCCCAGTCTCTCAAAATAAATAGGTAAACTTAAAAAAAAATATATATATGTGTACATATATATATTTAAATATATATTTGCTAATACATAGATTAACAAAAACTAATAGCAAAAACTTACTGGAGATATATGTATATATAAAAATATATATATATAATATTTATGTGCTATATATATGTGTGTGTGTGTATATATATATACATATATGTAATATGGGTCTTTTCCTTATTCATCTGTCAGTAGACACTGAAGTTACTGTAAATAATGCTGCAATGAACATGCGGTACAGATATCTCTTTAAAGAGTGATTTCATTTACTTCAGGTAAAGACCCAGAAGTGGAATTGCTGGATCATTGTTGCTAGTAGTTCTATTTTTAATTTGTTTACTTCTATTTTTAATTGAATTTGTTTACTTTCATACTCTTTTCCATCGTGGCTGTAGCAGTGTGCATTCCCACCAACAGTGCACAAGAGCTTCCTTGCCTATACACCCTTGCTGAGACTTGTTATCTCCGGTCTTTTCTCTAACAGCCATTCTAACAGGTGTAAGATATTGTCTCACTGTGGTTTTGATTTGCATTCATCTGATGATTAGGAATGTTGAACACCTTTTGATGTACCTGTTGGCCATCTGTCTGTCTTTGGAAAAATGTCTATTCAGTTCCTTAGCCGATTTTTTAGTCAAAGGGTTTGTGTTTTGCTACTGACTTGTGTGAGGTGTTTTTTTTTTTTTTTTTAAATATTGTTTTGGATAATAACCCCTTATCAGATCTGTGATTTGCAAATATTTTCTTCCATTCCATAGTTGCCTTTTCATTTCGTTGATGGTGACTCTTTTCCCTCTGCGTGCATAATTAACGCTCAATACGTGTTTTTATTATTAATGTTCCGAACAGAGCATAGCACCTAGACCGAGTAGGTAGCCCAGAGATGTTTGATGACTGTATGACAGCTGCATGAATGAACTGGAAACGAGGAGCCATGTTCTAGCTCCATTGCTGCCTCTGACTTCCTTCAACAACAAGTCTACCTGCTGACTCTACTGGCCTTCTCCAAACCTGCCTCTAATTTCCTATCTTAGCATTGTTCCAAGTGGCTTTTCCTCTGTCTGGAATGCTCTTCTCACTTGTTTCTGCTGTCACAATTCTATCCTTCAAGATGCAGATGACATGCCCCCTGCTCTGTGAAGCTTTCTTTGTTTCACCATCTGGTAGTGCTTCTCCCTTCTCGTATTTCCAATATATTTCATTGTTGGTGGTTCCCAAATTTATATTTTCAGTCCAAATCTTTCTTATGAGCTCCAAACTGGTATATTCAAACGTCTACTCAGTACCTTCATTTGGATGTCTAATAGACTCAAATTTAATATGTCCACCACCCACCCACCCACACTGCTAAGTTAGCTCTACTTGCTGGCTCTCCCCTCTCAGTTAAAGGCAACTCGATCGTTCTAGGTGCTCAGGCCAAAACATTAGTCATCCCAATGCTTGCCTTTCTCTTACATCCTCCTCTTAGTCCATCTGGAAATCTTTTTAGATCTTCTTGGAAATATCCAGAATTAGAACACTTCTCACCACCTGCACTGTTACCACCGTGGTCCAAGTCAGGGCCAAGGGACTCCACCCCTGCCCTTCCCTCACACACAATCCATTTCTACAGAGCAGCCAGAGTGGTAAAATCTTGGTAAAATACAGGTCAAATCCTCAGTCTCCTGCTAGAAGTCCCGTGGTGGCTCCACATTTCACTTAGAGCAAAAGCCAACATTCTTGAAACACTCTATCAGGCTTTACAAAACCTCACACCTCTCTGACCTCATCTCCCACTGCTCTCTCTGTCCTGGACACTCTCATCTTGTCCCCCAGATTCACTCTTCAGCCTTTTCTATCCCTCTCTCTTCTCCGGGAGACTGGTCATGGGAATCTTCAAACCTTCACAGTCTTTTGGCTTCTAGTTGGGTCAGTCGATGGCAGGCGCTGGTTTGGGATGGGGGAGATGGGAGCTGAGAGAGACTGGGGTAGTTAGTCCTCTCTTTCCTTCCCTGCCAAGCCTGGTCGTGGCCATAACTCTGTTCTTTTACCAAAGACCACGTCTGTCAGTAACGCTCCTATAGCCAGCCTTCTGGGGCTCTGGGAATCCTGCTCTCTGCTGACCCCTTCTGGCCAAGGGGTGCTATTGCTAACTCTCCAGGGCCTGACCTTGTTGGTTTACCTTACCTCTGTCCACAGCTTTGTAGTCTTTATACTCAACACTCTTCAGTGACTCCTTTGAAGATGCTCTCTGCTTCCTGCCTAATCTTGATTGATCCTTTCCCCGGGGCTCACTTTGTTCAAGCAACACTTTTATGATATTGTCATTTGTAAGAAAAAGATACATTTGTCATTTAGATGATCAAAATATATTTCTCATATATAGTTGGTCTTCATCCAGGGTTCAAACTCTTCAAACCCTTGGAATTCCCTAAGTGTTGAGAGTGATAAAGGTGTCTCCTTTATGTTAATGAGGTGGCTTTTGCAACTAACCTAAGGATGGGTTGCCAGGAGAACCAACTATGTGATTAGAGGGTTGAAACTTTCAGTCCTGTTTCTGACCTCTGGGGAGGGCAGAGAACCTAGAGGTTGAATCAATCGCCAGTGGCCAATGGTTTAATCAATCATGACTGTGTAACGAAGCCTCCATACAAATGCAAGCAAACAAAGTTTGGAGAGCTTCTGGGTTGCTGAACACCCGGAGATTTGGGGAGAAGGGTGCACCTAGAGAAGTCGTGGAAGCTCTGTGCCTTCCCTGCACCCTGGGGGCTCCGCACTGGCTCTTTCCTTTTCTTGGCATGCCCTTCTTCTAGATGTCTATGGATCCCTCCTTCATGTCTTTAAGTCTTTGCTCAGTTGTCACCTTCTCAGTGATCATGTGTCTGTGTTCTGATAAAATTGCAGCCCTTCTACCCTGGCAATTACACTTTTTTTTTTAATACTACGTATCATATAACTCATTATGGTATTTATTTATTTATTTGTGATTTTCACTATCCTTATCTTCTCACTAGATTATAAAATCCTTGAGGGCAAAGATTTCATCTGTTTTTTCACTGATAAATCTCTACTGCTAGAGTAATGCTTGGTATATAGTAGGTGGTAAGGGCCTGTTTGTTGAATGAGTCAGTGTTTCCCACTTTGTTCTCAACAGATCCTCAGTGTATAACCCGAGTGCCTATGTCATTACTCCAACTAAAAAGTAAATATCCAAGAGGAATAATTGACATTTATACCCGAAGTTGCAAGGCAAAGGCCCTTAGGTTGGACTTGGCCTACAGCCAAGTTTTTTTATACTAAGGTATTGGTCCACACAATGTTTCAAGTACTATTTTGAGTTACCTTTCCAACATTAAAAAATGGAGGATATTTCACTTAAAGATGTGGGTTTCTGGTTTCTAAGCCAAAACAGAACTCCTGGTCATATTTTACATCATGTTACTCACTCTGGAACAGCTGAGTAGGGCTTTTCCCCTTAGACTGGACATGTCCTCTCCTGTGCTTCAGGGCTGTACCTTTTCCTGTTGTTTCCCTGACACCCTCAAAAGCTGAGTGTCAGCCAGCCACCTCCACTTATCTACTCATCTGCTTGGCTCTTGTGAACATAGAAGTTTGCAACTCCTAATGGTCAAGTATATACCAGGGAGGCATAAATGTTTGATGATGATGATATGCTAACGATGATGTAGAAATACAGATAGAATTTGCACTTTTTCTATTCTTTTCTCTTGTAACTTCTCTTCATTTACTTGTTCTATCAGTGTCGATGTCTTCAAATATAATTGTGGACTTGTCTTTCCTTTTTTTTTAGTTACATCATGTTGCTTTATGTATTCTCCAATTCTGTTATTAATTGCGTACATATTTATGGCTATGTGACTCGTGAAGAAGACCTGGAATATACCAGAGGAACTGAAGGACACTGAGGACGCGGTCTACCAACTTGTGGTCGATGACCTGAAAGACACTATCAGCCAACCTGACTTAATTGACATGTGTAGAACCTAATAACAAAATAAGCATTCTTTTCAAATACACATGGAACATTCACCAAAGTAATTCATATGCTGGCCCATGAAACTAATACCTGCAAATTTATAAGGACTTAAATAATACAAAGCATGTTCTTTGATGACAGTAGTGTTAAACTAGGATTGAATAAGAGAAAGATACAGCAAAAACTGTAATTAGAAATTTAAAAACACACTTCTAAATAATCTGTGGATCAAAGAAGGAATCATGAAGGAAATTCTAATGTATTTTGAATTAAACAAATGGAAACACAACATATTCAAAAAAATGTGTGATGCACCTAAAGAAATGCTCAGAGGAAAATGTATAGAATTAATTACTTATAAAGAAGGAAAGTCTCCAACAATGATCTCAGCTACCACCTTAAGAAATTATAAAAGGAAAGCAAGTTAAACACAAAGGAAGCCGAAGGAAGGAAATATAGAGCAGAAATCAATGAAATAGAAAACAGGAAACTAATAGAGAAAAAGCTATTGAGCCATAACTTACAAATTTCTAGTCAGTCTGATCAAGGAAAAAGAGGAGAGAAGATACCGATTACCAATATCAGAAATGAAAGAAAAGACTTTACTATACATCTTACAGGAATTAAAAGATTATGAACAACTTTACACTAATACATTTGAGAACTTACACGGAATGGAAAAATTGCCTGAAAGACCCAAACTCCCAACGCTCACTCAAGAAGAAATAGTCTGATCAGTGCTACATGGTGGTGAATTTTTCCAAACACGTAAGGAAGAAATAATACCAGTTCTAGAGAAATGTTTCCAAAAAATGGTAAAGGGTAGAACATTTTCCAACTTACTTTATGAGGCCGATACTAACATGATACCAAAACCAGACAAAGACGAAGGTTTCATGAAAAGTAATCTAAAGCCCAAATACACCTTATGGACATAGACAGAAAAGTCCTCAGCAAAATGTTAGCAAATCAAATCCAGCAGTATATTAAAAAAGATAACACAAGTGGGGGATGCTAGGTTGGTTCGACACTTGAAAATCGATCAATGTAATTTACCATATCAGCAGACAAGGGAAGAACATAATTATTTCAATGATGCAGATGAAGCATTTTAGCAAACTTCAACATCCATTCATAATAAAATCTCTCAAGAAACTAGGAGCTACAAAATAGAGAAATCTGTTCATAATGTCCCATTGCCTGAAGTCTTACACCCTTTCTATTGTTCAGATCCCCTGTCACTCGAGCACTCTGCCAGCTTCCCAAGCCAGCATTCATTCACTCGTTCATTCACTATCTGTCAGTATCGACTGTGTGGAAGGCACAGTAATAGGCACACAGTTATAGGCTCTGGGGGACACAGCTGTGAGCAAAATAATAAAAATTCTCTGTCCTCATAGAGCTCTCATTCTAACAGGTAATATCAGCTCCCCAGAGCTCCCTGCACTTTGCTCAGTGGCCTTTCACTCCCTCACACTAGTCCTATTCCCCTCCTGGCACAGGGCCTCTGGGAGACATGCTGGTCCCTCTTGAATTCTTTTCTCTCTCATCTTTGTCTATGTAACTTTTACTTATTTTTCAGATGGTAGCTGAAGAGTCCCTTCTATAGGGAAGCCTTCCTTGATTTCCCTGCCTACATGCCTCCTCATGTAAAAAAAAAAAAGTTTATTTATTGAGAGAGAGAGAGAGAGAGAGAGAGAGAGAGAGAAGAGAGAAGAGAGAGTGTGTAGGGGCAGAGAAAGAGGAAGAGAGAGAATTCCGAGCAGGCTCCGTGCTATCAGCACAGAGTCTGACACGGGGCTCGATCTCATGACCCGTGAGATCCCGACCTGAGCCGAAACCAAGAGTCAGATGCTTACCGGCCTGAGCCACCCAGGCACCACCCTCCTCTTTTATATGTGCTTATTGTACTTCCCTTCCTCCCCGTCACAGCCCTTCTTGCATAATCATTTGTGGGACACTTTGGCTGACCTCTAAGTGACTGATGGATGGATCATGGGTTCTGTGAAGGCACGGGCTCTGTTTTCACTCAACAGTGTCACTAGTTCCCAGTGCAGAGTAGGGGCTCATTCAGTATTATATAAAAGAGGGAGTTTGTGCCTTCATCCAAGACTTGATTAGATTTTGGCCTGGAATGGACTGGCATGAGAACTGGACGAAGAACATGCTCGAAAAACAGCATCCAAGATGGGGATAACAGGGAATCCTTGGGCACCATTGGTGAGAATGTAAATTGGTGCAGCCAGCATGGAAAACCGCGGAGGTTCCTCAGCATATTAAAAACAGAAATATTGTCTATGGTCCAGTACTTCCACTGCTGGGTATTTACCCAAAGAAAATGAAAACACTAATTTGGAAAGAGAGACGCATCCCCATGTTTATTACAGCATTTGTTACAATAGCCAAGATACGGAAGCAGCCCGTGTCCACTGATAGATGAATGGACGGAGATGGGGTATGTAAATGCAGTGGAATATTACTCAGCCATTAAAAAAGAACGAACTCTGGCCATTTGTGACAACACGAAAGGACCTAGAATGTATTATGCTAAGGGAAATAAGTCAGACAGAGCAAGACAAATACCATATGATTTCATTTATGTGTGGAGTCCAAAAAAATAAAGCCAATATGTACACACATACATACACACACATTAGAAACAGACTCATAAATACAGAGAACAACCTGGTGGTTCCGGGGGGGGGGGGGCAAAACAGGTGAAGGGAATTAAGAGGCACAAACTTCCAGCTCTAAAATGAATAACTTAGAGGGATGAAAAGTACAGCACAGGAAATATAGTCTATAACATTGTAATAACTTTGTACGGTGACAGATGGTGACTACGCTTATCCTGGTGAGCACTGCATAATGCATAAAACTGTGGAATCACTACGTTGTATACCTGAAACGAATATGACATTATATGTCAACTATATGCCCATAAAAAAGAAAGAAAATAGCACCCGAGGAAGTATTACGTAATTTATTAGTGGCCTTTAAATTAGTCATCAATCTGTCTAACCTTATTTGGATTCAGTCCATAGTTTCTCCATCTCATTTGTGAGATCTCACGGGAGGCTTTTGAAGTTCGGCTCACTATGTCAACTGCATTCCTCTGCGCTGCTGACTATCCAAAACGCAAATGAGGTTTGTTTTGTGTAACTAGATTCTGTGCGTACTCCTAGCCTTCACACATTTGGTCCTCCGTCCACTCGTCTGTAAGGTGCTGGGCTCCATCAGGCGATTTCCCAGGTTCCTCCTGACTTTAGGAGCAGGGGCTGGGGTTCTGCACGCACCCCCGTGCCCCCCCCCCCATGAGGGGTTGGCTCCCTGATGCTCTTGGGGCCGAGGTAAGACGCTGCGCCCACAGCTCCGGTGTCGCCCAGATCGCTCAGGGAGGTGTTTGCAGAGAGAGGCCGGGTGGGGATCACTTGCTCATTGGCAGGCAAGTCCGTGAGGGCCAAGGCAGTCAGGGGGAAAACAAGCACAGCAGCCTTGATTCCTGGGATGCTCCCTGCCCTCCTCCCCCACCCCGGCCGCCCCCACAGGAACCAAACTGTGTATCTCAATCCTAGAATGTGAGGAATGTGCCAGAGCCTGCTAGGCATGGAGCAATCTGCAGAGAGGCAGGGAGGAGCTCTGCTCCCTGGTCAGAGGCCTGACAGAGCAAGGACTATGGGTCCTGAGGGCTGGGCTGCCCCTCCCACCCTCCCTGGGCCTCCTGCTGCAGCTGGATATCAAAGGCTGCTTTGTGCACTGAGCCGGCTTTCCGTCTGTCCAGTATCTGCTAGGAGGTTGGAGAAGGGGCGCTGTTAGGAAGGGCGCCCCTACCTAACCCCGTTCAGGCTGAAGTCCCTTGGTCTCTCAGCCCTGGAGGGATGGTGCAGACAGAGGCCTTTGTTTCTGCGTCCCAGGAAGCAGTCTGTCTATCGGCCCAGAGGAGTCTTACCGGTTTTTCAAAGAAATAACTGTTTCGGTTCATTGATATTCTCTATTTTTTCCCAGGTTAATTGAAACGTAATTGACAGGGTCACCCTGGGTGGCTCAGTCGGTTGAGCATCTGACTTCGGCTCAGGTCGTGATCTCAAGGCTTGTGGGTTCGAGCCGCATGTCGGACTCTGTGCTCACAGCTCAGAGCCTAGAGCCTACTTCAGAGTCTGTGTCTCCCTCTCCCTCTGCCCCTCTCCCGCTGTCTCTCCCTCTCTCTCTCAAAAATAAAACATTAAAAAATATATATACTTGACATACAGCACTGTAGAAGTTTAACATGTACAACATAATGATTTGACTCGTGAAGTGATTATCAGACTGAATTTAAATTAAATGTAATGTCTATGTGTTTGTTCAGTTTCTATTTGATTCCTGCTCTTTCTTATCTCTAGTATTTTCTTTCCTCCTTCTCCTTACTTGTTTAGTTTGCCTGCTTAGACGACCGAGTTGAGACTGTCTTCTCTTCTCATATAAGCATTTAATGTGATAAAGATCCCTTTAAGCACGGCTTTTCCTGCAACCCCCAGATTTTGATAGGTTGATTTCATTGCATTCAAACTATTTTTTAATTTCCCTTCTGTTTTGTCCCTCATCCCTTGAGTTATTTAGGAGTGTTTTGTTTAATTTGCACATATCTGGGGATTTTCCAGGTATTTCTCTTTTATTGATTTCTAATTTAATTCCTTTGTGTTCAGAGAACATTCTTGGATGATTTTAATTTTTTGAATTTCTCGACATTTGTTTTTTTCATCTCAGAATATGTTCTTCTTGGTGAGTGTTCCATATGCACTTGAAAAGATGGCCTATTCTGATGTGTTTTGGTGCACTCTTGTATAAATGTCAGTTGGGTCAAGTTGATTAAAATGTTATTCAAGATTTGTATCCTTACTGGTTTTTGGTGGTGGTGGTGGTTTTTTGTTTTGTTTTGTTTTTTGGTTTTGTTGTCTTGTTTTGTTTTGTTTTGTTTTTGGTCTACCTGTTCTATTAATTACTGAGAGAGAACTGTTAAAATATCCTGCTAAAGGGCGCCTGGGTGGCTCAGTCAGTTGGGCATCCAACTTCGGCTCAGGTCATGATCTTGCAGTTGGTGGGTTCGAGCCCTGTGTCGGGCTCTGTGCTGACAGCTCAGAAACTGGAGCCTGCTTCAGATTCTGTGTCTCCCTCTCTCTTTGCCTCTCCCCTGCTTGAGCTGTCTCACTCTCTCAAAAATAAACTTGAAAAAATAAAAAAATAAATATAATAAAATATCCCACTCAAACAGTGGACATTATTATTTCTTTCAGATTTATTACTTATTGCTTCATGCATTTTAAGCTGTGTTGGTAAGTACATACACTTTGAAAAAGTTTTTTTTTTGACATTTATTTTTGAGAGACAGAGTGAGACAGAGCACGAGTGGGGGAGGAGCAGAGAGAGGGGGGACACAGAATCTGAAGCAGGCTCCAGGCTCTGAGCTGTCAGCACAGAGCCCGACACGGAGCTTGAATCCACAAACCACGAGATCATGACCTGAGCCGAAGTTGGACACTCAAGTGACTGAGCCACCCAGGTACCCCCCCTTTTTTTAAAAAAAAATTTTTAACGTTTATTTTTGAGAGACAGAGTGAGACAGAGCATGAGTGGGGGAGGGGCTGAGGGGGGTACATAGACTTTTTAAAAAGAGATTTTATTTTTAAGTAATCTCTACACCCAATAGTGGCTTGAACTCACAAGCCCAAGATCAAGAGTTGCATGCCCCACTGACTGAGCCAACTAGGAGCCCTGGTGCATACTCTTTTAAGATTGTTAATATCTTTTAAATATGTTATCCTTTTTATTATTACAAAATGTTTCTATTGATCCCTGATCATGTTCCTTGTCCTGAAATTTGCTTTAATCAATATGAGGCATTTCTTTTGATTGGTGTTTGAATGGCATTTCTATTTTTATACTTTTATTTTTAACCTAGTTATATCTTTATATTTATACTTATATATTTAGTTCCCTTTATCCAATCTGGCAATCTTTAAGTGGAGAGTTTAGGCCATTTTCACTTAATGTAATTATTATTGGTTGGGCCTAAATTTACCATCTTGTTAACCTTTTTCTTGTTGTTATTGTCGTTGTTCCATTTGTCCTTTGTTCCATTTTCTTCTTTTCCTGTCTTCTTTTAGCTTGACTGTTTTTTA